AAGACCTGTTGATTACAAACTGTTTGTCCTCTAACAGGAAGGTGAGCGTTCACTAACAGTATGTGTTTATCTCTGTGTGGGAGAGAAAGTGTTTACTTCTTCTGTGATAACGTCAAATTATTGGATCTAAAGGGAAAAACCTTGACTTGCTCAACATCTCTGATCTGTGATTCCCATTCTTCACTTCAACCACTTTGAATGAAAGTACTTAAAGCTGCTATACAATCAATATCTCTGTAGTAGCAACAGACCAAATGACGATATGTAAGGGAGAAGATGCTCACAAACACAGTGACGTTGAAAACATTCCTCAAACTGGGAATAAACAACATAATTTGGTCTTTGCAAACAGAAATGACTAACATGTTTATTCCCATATAGAGCGGGGAAGTGAGATCCGATCCCAAGTGGTCATCAGATTTCTCAGGACAGATGTTATTACTGAACAGGGCCATGGTGATGAACCTATGTTTATTTCCACTGCTCCTAACTGGCCAAAAATAACAGTTATCGCTGAGATATCTACAAGTTTCCATGTAGTGGGACTACAGAGGCTAATGAGGATCTAAATAAACTTAAAACTTATGCCTCTTACAAGTATTATATGTGCAAACTCCACGTTTTGTAACTGTTGCAGACTTTTAAACAGTAAAAAAAACTTAGGTTTTAAAAAGTGCTCAGTCAGGAATGACCTCAGTTTAATAAAAGCAAATGTTTTTCTAATTAAAAAAGTCTTAATTGATCTGGGCCAAGGCCAACTATTCCAATACAGGACGGCAGTACATTCTTTTCCATTTTAGAGCCAAGCAGCGTGACCCTGGACCAATTCGCTACTCATGTGCTGTAATTCAATTCCCCTCAAGGTAGTATTTGTGTGCTTTCCTGAGAAATTCATCTCCCACAGAGTTAAGCTATCTGCAGAGTTGTAGTTTGTAAAAAGATCAACAATGCTTTTCATTTTGATTTGAAAACGTTGTGCACTGCACAACTGGCCCTGACAAGCCTTGCTCTGTCCCTGTGAGTTTAAGCGGCTGTTGTGAAGGCAGGCCCGAGCCTCTCCCTGTTCTGTGGCAAGTGCTCCGGTGTCAAGTGCTGCATACGCATTAGAAAGGTTTGTCACAAATGCAAACAAGCAGGCAGCGGTTACTGCCTGAGCTGCCTGTTGGTCTGGTTGCTGATAGGACTAACAGTAGTTAGTGTGGCAGACTAGCTGGTTGTTTGACTAGCTAAGTAGGCTGACTGGCTCACTGGTTCCACCATTTTTTTTACTGCGCTATTGTGGAAACGGGTCGAGTGAATTGTCTTAGGACAAAGAGGCCATGCACGACACACAACAAAAAGTGACATCAGTGCAGGGGGAAAAACAAAAACACTGCAGGGGAGCGAGGGAGCAGAGGAGGAGGAGTTGAATGCTCCCATGCCATTTTGCACAGAAGTGCAAGGAAGTTGATATTCAGCTCATTTAGGTCGAAGCATTATGGGAACAAGCTGGTGACACGGGAGAGGTTACAGCTGAAACTCTGTCTCACAGTTATCATTATTATGTGTATATAGACTATATATTCCAAGTTAATAATTCATTATGCAACTTAAAGAGAGGGTATATTTTCTCAATGTGAAATGGCTTTAACAGCAAGTATGTACTTTTACTAAAGTACACATGCTTTTCTTAATGGATTTCAGTGCATCATTTCCCTCCTTTTAAGAATTCAAACTATGACTCCCTCTGATAATTTAGTAGCTTTAAATTATGCTGCAACAAAAACAAATAAAATAGCACAGTAGACTGCATACCTCCGCCAAGGCTCAACAGTCCCCTTATGAAACCACATTTGAATTCAATAGATCCACATTTTCATTTTGAATCTGCACCATTAGACACACTCAATATCAGTCCCCTAAAGATGCCAAGTTTTTTCATTGAGATCCATGAATTATTCTATATGAAATCAAGGAAATGTCAACAAACAACCTCTCATAATGTTGAAAAAAAAAAGCCACATCGAAATTGTATGTGTTTCTCCTTGTGTCATGGCCCTATGGTCATGACTGACCCTGCCATGGAGAAATGTCATGGAAATCGGTTTGGTAGTTTCTGTGTAATTCTACTAACTACCTTCTAAATGCAGATGAAAACATAACCTCCTTAGTGGAGGTATTGTATAAATCCATTCCTTTTACTTTTCACTCTACAATATAGATTAAGTCTGCAAGACTACAAAGCAATCATTAAAAACCAGACACATAATCTGCACAGCTGATGCAGAGAAAACTGAAAACACAAATAAACTACAGCACATTAATTATCAGTGGTATCCGCTGAATGTTAAGTGTCCTTGGAGGTTTCACCAGCTCTGGGGCCTGCTGGTCGCAGGGACCTGCTGAGAGGGATTGGCCGTTTCTCCTTAATCTGGGGAGGAATTTATTTTTACAGCAATGCCAGAAGTCCTTAGGAAAGGCAAAAGGCAGAAGAAGATGGAGCCGCAAAAGAAAGAGTGAGGCAGGGAGACTGAGGAGAAACTGAAAAAGACATAGACAGAGATCATCAAGACAGAAAGTTAAAGTTAGAGAGAAAGAGTCAGAGGGAGAAACATCCCACTCTGCCTCCAGTGAAAGCAGGTTAACACTGCAGGCAAACAAACAGCTGTGTTGGTGGCAGTTGGTCTTATTTGCCTGAGTATCTACAACTGCAAAGCTTGCACGGCACAAAGACGCCTATTGTCTTGTGTCAGGAAACAGGGACGGAGCTTACAACTGAACATAATGTTGCACTTCATCGATATGTAATGCGACGCTAATCATAGAAATCATTTGTCCACAATGCACCCTTTGACGGCACAGAAAGAAAAACCGAAGCCAAGAGGAGCCATAAGCGTTGTGAGAAAAACTTACTCTCTTCTTCGGTCGCATGAACAAATGATGCTGCTCTCGACAGAACATCCAGTGGTGTCTCCATGCTGGGATGCCTGCAGGACAGAGGGGAGGGCACTGAGTTCAATATGTTGTTGGCTTTCATCCATATGTAGCATTTTGTACAGAAACTGAATGATAATTTGTTGGATACCATATTATTAAACACCTCAAAAGTGTTCCAGGAGGACCCATTTGAAGTTTTTTATAATGGTGCCAGTATGATAACTCACTTCCAGTACAAACATGGAGATTTTGGTGAAGTCACATCACATTAGAGATGTTGGAACCAGAGAAAGTAAATGCCTAAAACAATTCTGTGATTTTCAGAATAGTTAACAATAATTAATACCCTATACACTGACCAATTGATTAACGACTGCAGCTCTAAACTCCACAAACACTAAAACACTATAACGAGGATATGATAAGACTCTTCAGGGGCCTCTCTTCAGGGGCCTCCTTTACTTTTAATATCTGTTTGCTTACGACACTGTACTTAAGTAAAGTTTTGAATTCATGAGGTATCGTAGTATTCTGTGGCTTCTTGCATCACTACTCTACTCATCATGACCTTCTTGTGATCTTTGGACTTTTCCTAAACTTTGTTTTTGCATTTTTAGGATTTTTGTCCTGCAGTGTTGAGCTTTCAGACTCAGCTCTGCTATGAAAGGTATTTCTGATTTAAAAACAAACACTCTTCAGCTTTTTTCCAGCATTCCTAAAATGCCAGCCCTCACTTCTCCAGTGATATAGAAAACACTGCTCCTGCAGCGTCAGAATAAAGTGTAAAACTAAACGCACATGCACAAAGTCTGTGGAGACTCTGGCAAAGTGGAAATGATCATTTTTAGGAGCAAGTGCATGCGTCCATCTTTCTTTATTCCTTGTGATAGTGTTTACACCAGCCCGACTCCCTGCTTCCTTATCACTGACACTGAGCTGGAATAGATTTGGCGATCAGGTTTCATTTCCTCCTGCTCACAGGTTGCAATATGCAGAGACAACAAGATGTCCCAGACCCGAGCAGGAGGAAAGCATGTGGCCTCAAGAAGGAGAAGGAGGAGGAGGAGGAGGAGGAGGAGGAGGGTGATTCTTGACATGACAAAGTTTTGGAAGCCGTGAATGAAATTTCAACAAGCACCGATCACGTAGATTACCACAGAGACGATCTCTGTCTAAAATCTCTCCTCTGTTCACAAGCTGCATGTTTCTGTGGGAAACTGTCCAGAGATGAAGAGCGCACCCTCCTCATCCTCGAAACAACGTTTAACTTCTTCATGTGTGAGCAGCACTCACCTCCCTCGAGAGCCACTTTGGTATCTTCCACACCAGAGATGGAACAAGAAAACAGAAAATCTAAATAGAGATTAAATCCGCATGCGACAGAAAAAAGAAAATCCGCGGCAAAAAGCAGTCCGCTGCGACGGAAGACAATAGTTACAGAGCTGTCGGGACTAAGTTGGTTGTAAACGAGGAGGAGGAGGGAGGAGGGAGGGAGGGAGGGAGAGAGGGAGGAGGAGAAGCAGGGAGGAGGGAGGGAGGAGGGAGGGAGGAATGCCTGGAATGATGGAATTCAGTTCCTAGCAGGTGGTGAAAGTGCAGCGCGCTGATTGGCTGGAGGAGCGCAGCGGTGACATCAGCATGATAAACAGGTCGTGACGTCACTTCCCTTGAAGGTGAAGCCGCCCGTCAAAGTGTTTACGACCCGGAGGTGATGACGTAGAGAAGAGTGGCGATCAGAGCCCCCCCCATAAAACGTGGTATTTGGTTTTGTTAAAAAATCAAAACAAAAGGAAGAGATGTCATCCACAAATGCAAACACAGCAATTTATTGAAAACAATGTTAACCTAAAATTAACCTATGTTGTTGTATACAACTCCATGTTTACTTGTTCTGTTCCTCTTTTAAAATAAAAGTTCCCTCCTTTAATGACTCTATACCCCTTCTTACTCATGTGAAGTAAGTAATATGTATAAATCATTAAATAATATCTATGTATATATTTACATTTACCTAACAATGTTCTCTTACAAATGATGATTAACTTAACAATTAACAATCTTTCATAGTGACATTCAACCCCCTCAGTGACGGACTGACTTAAGTTTTATTATATTATTCTTTAAAGCCCGTGTTTTCTGGGGATTAGAGGATAATATTATAAAGCTTTGGGTTTACAAATAATCATGCCACTTAAGACCATTGTTGCTGTTTCACTAAAAACTTTATTAAACCTGATTTCTTGTAACTGAATTAGACAACTGTGTTTATCAAGAACCAACTGATGTATTGGCTGGGGACAGAGAAGTGTGACAGTGTCTGTTAACAATTAGGAACTTTATTTAATGGTAGAGGATAAAACTTCAAATTGACTTCTCTCAAACAACTTCTCAACATTGTGTGATCCCATATTTTATAAATCCTGGTTGAGATAATAGCGCAGCCTCCAAAAACATAGTATTAAGAGATTAAAAGATTTGTGGATCTTTGACAAGGAGAAACAGAAGTGTGTCTGTGTGTATGAAACATGTAACACCAGTTCACAGCTTAAACAAAATCTATCAGTACCCTGCTACTTGTTGCAGTGTCATCCGTTCAGCTCTCCCACGCCAGGCACTGTGTGTGTGTCATCATCCACAAAGGTCCAGATTGTATTACTGTGAAATGTCAGCCATAATTCAGTCTGACTCGTGAAATGCCACCTTTTATTTGACAACTTTTTATGAATCGCATGATAAAGGGCAGCAGCACAGATATTTCTTAATTATCCAGACAACCTTATGCATAGTCAGTGGTCCCATTCACACCTACTACAGAGTGTCACAAGCAGAGGTGAGGAGACAACTGCTCCAGCCACAGTTCATCAGGGTAGCATCAAAAGGATGGACGTGCATTGTCAGACTGTCAGTGGTAGACAGACAGGTTCCCAGTGAACAGACAGGTTCAGGACATGTGGGACACAGACGGCTTCCTCCTCCAGCCCTTCCACATCTTAATCAGTTTCTTTGAGCTGTACGACACCGTCTTCCACAAACCTGAGACACAGAGCACCAGACTTTAACAACCACGCTAGAACAACAATATTTCCACATTATTAATAATGCTGGTTGGAGGAACACATTTTATGTCTAACTTTGCCAAAACATATTTTTAATTTCTATAATAAGCTCGACTATTATTCTAAACAAAGGTGAGAGTCATGTTTAAAGGCCACGGTAAAGAAGATGTTTAACTTTTTAGTTTAACAAACATGAATTCTTATTTTAACCTTGTTTTTTTAATACTGATTAAACAAATATACTTTTCAATGCTGTTACCAAAATTAGAGAGGAAAAAAATGTGTGCTCTTAATATAACAATATAGACTGCGGCAGGCTAGCCATTTCCAGTCTTTAAGCTAACCTTAGTGTCAGGTGGCTGTAGCTCTAAAGTTAGCCAACAGACATGAGAATGAGTAACAATCAAGTAACAATAGCAAATCTCCCACAATGACTCTACACTATAATACAAACACAAAATCAGTCAATACAACATCACAACCTGACAATGTTTGATCTAGTATTTTGTAATATTAACTAAAGGAAAACAAATATCTCTTACCAGCTGTAGCAATGCCTTTGATACTCTGTGTTATACTGGAGGTTTTCACAATAGATGAGATACCTGAGGAAAAACAACACAAGTAATTACAAACACATTTCATATCTCAGCACTCTGCAATATGATTTTATTCTATTAACAATCTAGAAATCTAGAAACAAGGAGAAAACTTCCTGTAGAACAATATTTAGTTTCTTCATCCATCTATCTCGACATTTTTCTGCTTCCTGCCATAAAAATGTGACAAATGAAATGTGTCCATCCACAAGTTTCTTGTGAATTATTTTTCAAAGAAAAAATGGGTGACTATTAATCTTAGAACTTATGAGCCGCTGGGTGGCTACATTTTGTTTTATTTACTACCTGTTTACTTATCTACCACTGCATCACTTTTGGCCAGGTTTTAACATTGTGCTGGCTGTGTAAGTGTGTTGTATAATGGATTCCTAACATTATTCATTCCTAACATGACCCTGATGAAGAGGCAAAGTCAACACTTTCAGTCACTAAGTTTCTACACCTGATGAATCTGAGTCTGAGACAAACTTTTCAGCTGAAATTGTCAAAGTGCCCATTATACTTATGATATTTCAATGACAAGCACTTAAACAGGATCATCCAGAACACAAGTGAAGCAGCATCAGTGATCAAAAACTGTTTAACGTTCCAGGTGGAACACAGAATTATGCTAATGAATATTTATCTTTATCTCACCACACAACAATGACCTTGATCTGTGCATCCACCATGCACTGTATCACAGACCCATAGAGCGACTTTTGATTAGGGGGAGTAATTACTTTTTCAATCCATCTCTCTCTCCATCCTACCCATCTTGTCCTCTATTCCCCATCCCTCCGTCCATTCTTTACCCTCCGTACCTTGCTGTACCACAGCTCCACAGTCTGGGTCCTGAGCCACCTGCAGCAGGATCTCCTCCACATCGCGGTTCTTTCCCGGAGGGTCAACCAGCTTTGTGATCTTTTGCTGGAGGGTGCGCGGCAATGCCATCAGCTGGACAAACTGTCCCTCTGGGCTTTTGTCTACCTGCAGGTACACAAGTATATGGATATACATTAATTCAAATGTATGTAAGTATGTATTTGAATACACCAAGAATCACATCTACATGAAGTGAAATGGAAATATTGTAAACTCAGTGGGTGTAAATATTTTATCTTGTCCTTGTATGTAAATAAATAATCGCAGACTAATATTGATGTGATGTAAAGTCTAACTTTGATGTCCTGTCATCAGACATGAGTTCACCTATTTCGGGTTAATTGATTTTCAACAAAACTACAGTGTTATATATTGTAGTGTTTGTAGGACTATGGTATTTAATAAATAAACTGCTATTGTATCTAACACACATATCAAATATATGATAACAAATACTGGTGTTCATTCAAATAACAAACACATAGGAAACAGAATTGATGGGAATATCTTTCAGCATTTAATTTTTTCAGCAAAATGTTCCCTGTTTTGTTTGTGGCAATTAGTGTAAATAATTCTACAACCATTTTATGTTGGGTGTTCATGACATCACCGATTTTAAACAGCAATCAAACACATTGAAAACCCACTAAAATGTACAACAGATGAATGAAATCAAGTTGTAATTCACACTAATACTTTTTGAATTGGATTTTGTCATGACAGATGATAAATTATTTATGTGGTCTGTACATGTTTAACTGTGCCTTACCTCAAGTTTCCCTTGCTGTGATTTGTAGACCACCTGAGGACAGTCCCGCAGGATGTTGCTGTATAGAATTCTGAAGTGCTGAATGTTGTCTTTGACAATATTGGCCACCTTGGACTTGTCTTCTCCAATCACCATCCTGAAATCCCCTTCAGAGGCAAAGACAAGATGTTTTCACATAGGTGAGATATATTTAATCTTTAGTTTAGTTTTTCATCCAGGCTGTGAGACAGTTACCTCATTCTGATGTACTCTTTACCTCATACACTGTACTTCAGTTGTGTAGGATAGCTACTCCTCATGTAAGCATATTTTTAGAACATTAGACATGAAGTACCTGCTTCTATTTCACTTCGATGAATCTGAACAAATTAAAAAGGTTTGTTTTGTTTCTTGGGGCATAACAACTATCGGTCTAATAACTTATATAACTAATAAGCATTTCATTTGCCCTCCAGCCAACTCAGAACCATGCTGAGAGATGGAGAATTGGAAATGTAAACCACAGGCTTTGATATCATCTCTGCTGTTTCTGAATAACAACAGTAAGAAGTGCATGTGTGATAAATGTGTATGTCTTTCACTTTCTTTCCATTTATGTTTTATAGGTTAGTTACCCGCATAAGAGAGGCCAGCTATCTGCAGGAAAAGGTCCTCTTCAGTGAAGCTCTCTGGCAACATGAGGAACGAGGCCGTCACAGCACTCTTCAGGTTGGATACCAAAGCAGCACGGAGCTTTGCATTCTCACTCTGCACCAACATTTTTACCTGCATAGAAACACAAATGCACATGCATATAAGTATGGATGCACACTGCTAATTTGTACACATGCATTTAATCAAAGTCTGACAAGTGTTAATTGAAGCCTGTATGTAATTATTTTTGTAAACTCAAACGCATTATACTTTTTCTACATATCTAAAATACTTTTGTCAAGAGCTGTTTTATCTGAATCAGTCACATTTTAATAATCATGGTACTGACTGGTTTGTGAAGGCGTCCAGCAACGTACATGGTCTTCCAGTGCATCAGGTCATCTATCAGAGACTCCGTACTGATCACACCGTATTTGATAATCTGAAAAGAAGAGTTAAAAGAAGTATGTAGTTTATTCATGTAAAGTTAAGCCCAGAAAAATAATGAAATGAGATATGATTATATACAGACATTGAGTTTTTGGAGGATGCAATCTTTATTTGCACCTAGAAACACAAAATCTGTGTCCTATTGATTTTGTATTCAATTTTGAATTGAAAGGCAAGGTTGGTCTGATCTCTGGTTCCATCGGTTCAATAAAATATGATTCAAAAAACAGTGCTTTGCTTTAACAAACACTAAAGTCATACAAATCAAAACAGAACGTTCTTGTGAGAAGCAGACACAGTGTGAAGAAAGGGACACACAGCTTCATAAGGAAAACTATATGTGTACCTGATAGGCCTGAGAAGAAAGGAATAAAGTGTGTTATTTACCCTCCCATCCACAGGCACCAGAGTGTTGTAGTATACTGCCGCCCCATGATCATTTTGTATGGAGCTGATCATCGTGGGCCCCAATAGCTTGAGGATGGAGTAGTGTTTGCGATTTTGCAGCAGATTCATGGTGTGCCACGTCACTGGGTCGTCCACCGCTAAGACAAAGTCCAGCATGTTTTTCTGTTCATATAAAAAGTGACATATAGACTTGATAAAGTTATGTTGCCGAAAGTATATAATCTGAAATAACTGCAATGCAAATGAAAATAGATTTTGAGTGACACACACGTTCTGGTCTGTTGTAGTGCACAACACACTGTGAATAAGTTATAGCACATGTGTATGTATAGTTATACACAGTGTGTTTGTGCTACAGGAGGATTTCCCACTACCTGGCATGTTATCAATGGACTTTAATGGATGAGTAAACGCATCAATGAGCGATTATTCAAAGTTTTAACCAGTTTATAAAAACCTCTGTTAACTGTGCCCCACCAGGAAGGTAAAGTTTAGTGAGTGGCAGCACATGTCTCTTACCTCCATTTGACCTTGGCTGGTCCCATGCTGTTTGAAAACCCCTGATCCGTAAGCGAAAGCTAAGCTGATGTCCTGAGGGAACTGGGACAGGATCCTCCTGTAGACCACTCCGGTGCTGTGCAGAGCTGGAACAGACATTTTGAACGAGCTGACTCTTTTTAATCAGCAGCAGCATCCGCCGGTTTAATGAGCGGGTTCAACGATGAAATGACGCGTTTAACGAAAATTCAGCAGTATGAGGTAACATGTGCATTGTAGACGGATGTGCCCGGTGTGGCTGAGCACGACAAAACCACGAGAACACAGTAAAGATGTCGGTTTTATCGATAAACTACCAGCATGTTGTTTAGAGTCAGCTGTAAGGCTTTGACAGGCGACTGAAATGTGCGTCACAGATTCCGCCGCGCGCAGGAGGCTCATGGGAAATGGAGGCAGAGATGGAAAGTAAGCGTTCAGTCGTTAAACAGCTTAAATTATCACTAACACGCGGTTTATTTTGCGCGTTTGTTGCTTTTTTAATTGAACGTGAAATATAAACTGGGCAACACGAGGCTGTGTTTTCTATTGTTTTTACAGGTAAATGAAGTCTGAGCGTTGCCAGCAGAGGGCGGTTCCCTACCAAGTTAAGCTAAACATGCTAACTCCTGAGGGCAGCTGTGTCAGGTCAGAGGCTACATGCTAATGTGGCAGCTACTGTCTGCTCTAATGTTAATAAAATTAATATCACACTGTGATGTCATCGTGCTTGAAATCATCACACATCTGGGCTTCACTGAAAAAATCTACTTCACTTTTTATTTTTTAATATTGATGATACTGTTGAGATAAATATGGAGGTTTAAAACTACACGAGAACTGTTCCAAGTTACCAACTCCTCCCTACAAGTACAAACGCTGCTATCTCCTCAGTTAGGATCTTAATTCATTAATAAAGAGACACCTACAAGTTCAGCGTCAAAAGTTTCACACATGACCAAATCAGCATTTGCTCAACATCATTGATATGTGTGAGGGTGCGGCACGAAGTGTGATGATTTGTCAAGGAATGACCCACGTTTCTTTAAAGCTAATACAAGGCTGAAGATAATGCAGTATAAAACAGAACACAAATCCTCATTCCTGTGGGAACAATATCCAGTGTTTCAAAAAGATGTTGGATCAACTGTGTATCATTTGAGGATCAGTGCCGTTGTATTGTATTGTGTTATATCTCCAGTGTTTCAGAGGTTACACTTAAATCTGTTTTGAGCTGTAGGCTAAACTGTGATTTAAAAAAAAAAAAAAACCTTACCAGTGATCTCCATTTTTATGGCTTGAAAAATCCAGCCCCTTCCTCCCTCGTCCCCACAGTCCCCAGCCCAGTTTTTAGCATTTTTATCGGTTGGTGGATTTGGACTCAGAGCTGGGGGAGAAGTTAAACTTTGATGTTAATCATGAGTAGTCAAATATATACACTGATACATTTAGCCTGCATTTACTGTCTGTAGTCTTCTTTTTCATATTGTTCAACACTGGCTGCATGTGAAGTGCAAACCTGACTGTCAGGACTGATGGTTCAAATAGATTTGCCTTTTCTAAAGTTTCATTTTCTATTGTGTTTTAATTTTGTAATACAGTTCACATCTTGTAAAAAAGACCTTTGAAAAATTTAACAATCCTGAGAGGACACTCTAATATTTAGACTTGAGCTCCCGGAGGAATAAATGAAACCACTGAAAGCATCTTTAACAGTGTTTGGCTGTTAAAAAGTTCACAATGATTCAAACCAAAGACACCGAGCATACCATGAAAGTAAAGAAAATTAAATAGGAGATTTGTGTGAGATTCTTCTGTAGCAGTAAAAGCCAAAAAGCTTGTGAGGCCATCATCTTTATCTTTATTAGTCAGGAGTCTTATAAGACGATGATGCTCAGATCTATTTAAACGAATGAATATTGAATGTAGATTCTTGACACTTAGCAATATGTCTGAAGCTCATTAGGAGATTGTCACGAGTGGGACAAATATTATCTTCTTAGTAATGACTTGTCTCTTCAGCCATATGAATATTGATGAGGTCACTGAATCTTGGCTAACAAAGTGTTAAAGGGCCTTATTCATTCGGAGACAGAGAAGCACTAGTAGAACTATAAGGGTTTTATTCATTTTATAGTACATATAGAAAATCTTATATTCATACATGTGATCAAGGCTCTAGAGGTGTGAATTATTCATTTTTATATGTAGACATATGACCTCTGGCTATTTCTCCCTCCCTATAGTTTGTTACTTCTTTTCCTCATGAATAATATCATTCTCATAGGATTCATTCAGTTTTGCATTTCTATGGTCAACTTATCCTTAGTTAGTTATAATTTAGGAGCAGTTGCATAAATGAATGGATTAAGCATCTAAATCAATAAATATAGAGTCGTGTTTCTCACCACACCGAATCCCAAAATTCAGTCTAATTTTTGCTTTGGGTTAGTTTCCAACAGCTCTGTAGTAGTTTTCTACAGAGTGTCTATATTGACTAGCTGTCTGTCAGCTGTCTGGTACTGGGTAGGTAACATATAGTGACTTAATCAAGTGGAAACAAGGTTAATGAACTAAAACAGTGGATCATAAGCCCAATTAAAGCCCATATAGTTGCTTATTTACACGTTCCGCAGTTGAGTAATAAATCATTGTGACCGATAGATGTCAGCCAGAGTTTCACTTGCTTTAACTCTGTTTTTTTCCTCTATCAACTCCTGAGGAAAGTTGGTCGAGGTAAATAAAGGTAAAACTTGCTATAAAGCTCCATAGAGCTCAGCTGAGACATAATATTCTGTAGGTATAGGTCCCTTGATGCACTATTATAAAAATATTTTAGTGCTACATTAAGGAGACTACAGAGCAAAGTAAACTATGTGAAAATGTAGGACTGAAACAAGCACCTTTCTTGCAGAGTGTTGCTTTTATTTTTCAGCTGTAAACATATATTGGGCACAGAGGAGTGGACTCAACACAGGTAGTAAAGTAAAGAGGGAGGCAGCAGGCAAGCAGACAGGAAGAAAGATATTTGTTCATTAATTTCGCCAACCACAGTGAGAAATATGTGTCGCCATCACACCTCCATCTTTCCTCATAGTGTTTGTGTGGGCCTGTGTGAAACGGCTGCAGTGATAGGAGTGAAAGCAAAAGCTGCCTGTGTAACTTTTTGTCTGGAACAAAAACAAGAGGAACTGTCTAAACAGAATCAGTGTTTGTGATGATTGGATATTGATTTTCAAGTTTCACGTGATTTGTGTGATGGTTCTATCTTGTGCTTCAGTCGGAAAGCTCCACATGATTTTTTCACTTACAGTGCCTCTCCTAGAGTATTAGTGGCTGCCTCAGAAACGATGCATTAAGACGTCAGGACCTTTTTAATTGGTGCGTTTTGGCAAAGAATTGCACTGCAGTTGATCTGTTGCTATTAAAACCTAAATATCTTACAGTCCCCCATAGTTTACAGCAATTTCAGGGCTGCAAGAGGAGGAATAGCCTACAGAAAACACTGAGTGGTGCAAATCCAGAAGTACAAACACTGGTAAACGCACACAATAACCGTGAGGATCTTTTCAGCTGTAGCACGCCTGTTGCCATGGAGATTCCGATTGCTGCCCATGCCTAGTGAGGGAACATCAAACGAAAATGCACCATTAAGCACACAAACACACGCGTGCTTCTGTCGACACACAGCTGCTGCAGTGCCCCACTAGTAGAGAGCAACCGATGCTGCTACTTTCATGTTACTCCACAGAAAGGATGCAGTGTCACAGAGCAGGGAGCGAGTCAATACTTTTCATAAGAAGAGAGTGAGGAGTAAGTGAAAGCCAAACTGAACTGCACAGTTGAGGTAACTTGAGAGTTTGAGTGCAGTGCTACTATCTTCCATTTATTTTATAATGGTGTACAGTCGGCCTGTGTGTTAATGTAAACATCACATAAGGGCTCTTAATAGAAATTGCCATAAAATCAATACCTGCTGCTTGTTCCACCTACACACACACACACACACACACACACACACACACACACACACACACACAC